GGCCCCAACCCCTCTCCCTTTAATTTGTTAACTGTTTAAATTACATACTTTTAACTGTTTAACCTTCTAAACAGATATTTACATCCCTAAGTTCAAAGTAACCCTCACAGTCCCCAGGCAAAGTCCATCACAACAGCCCCAGCTCAACTCTGGCATTTTCAGCCAGTGCTGGAGCGGTTAGAATATCAGGGTTGGAAGGGACATCTAGTCCAACCCCCTGCATCTAGTCCAACCGGCTGCAGAAACAGCAGAGACCGAACTCGCCTCGGAGCTTGCTGAGTTTCTTTCTCCCTGTTTGTTCGGATTACAGGGATTTCCAGGATACGAACCAATGCAAACGCTATTACAAGCCCGGGGCAGGAGCGTGGATCCGCGCCTGGTGGGTTGCACGCGGAATTCGGAATGGAGACTGGGAAGCACAAACAGTGAACCATGCATTTAAAAAGTGAAGTTTTACTAGAATTTGCACATTCTAGCTAAGATGTGCCAGGGTGTTAAAAATAAGACCCTGATATTGTCTTCTCTGTTAGTAAACCTCCCTGTACCTCACCAAGGGGGTACCAAGCCCCCTGTAAACAGTGAACTGTCTGGGGGGGATGGAGAAATTGAAATGTGGTCCATTTACAAATGTAGGCTAAATGTCGTCCATGGGTGGCAAATCATTAGTCTGAATCACGGCTGGGAGTTGGAAGTGTGTGGGGTGGGGTGGGGGAGGAAACGGCTGGGGAGTTCTTTGCGAGTCCGTATCAGCGTGCGTGCTTGCAGCCAATCAGAGAAGGCTGCATCGGCAGCTACGGGGAGACGCTAACGCAGCACCCTGTCAATTGCCCCGTGGTGCCGAGAGCTGCCCACTTTTCCCAGATAGGCAGTCCCATTTCAGAGAGGGCCGGATTTTCCAGGGCCTTCTCTGTAGCTGACCAGCCCACTCCACTTGTGGATGTGCTGTTCAGTCACCATACGTGTGAACACTTCGATGGCATACGTGGCTGGCTTGCCACGGACTTAAATCTCTCTTTGCCAGTCAGGAACCACCAGACTCGCTGTGCCCTCCAAAACATGGACTCCCTGCGATGCTGGAGAAGGCTGACGCAGCACAATGCAGCCCCCCGCACCCCAAACCCAAGGTGGCCTGCCATTTTTAAACAAAATTGGGATGTTTAACTGGCCGTTCTCTGTGCACCGTGATTAACCCGCCTGGGTCCACGGAGCCTCTGGGATCTGAAGCGTCCCTCTAGCGATACAGTTAAGTTCAGTTTTACAGAATATCATTTTTTATCCTTGAGATTCCACATGGATTTTTCCTGGGCTCCCATTCACCGAGCCAATAACACTAGGTTTTGTGTCTGCTGGCAGACACCTCTGCCTCGGCGGCTGGCTCACGCTCCAGCAGAAACTGGGTCGCCGAACCGTCCCAGCCCGGGATGAACTGATGGGGGACTCTCTGACCAGGGCCAAGAAGCAGGTGCAATCCAAAGGAGGGAAGGATTCCCGGCAAGTGGAGGCTGCAGAGCGGGAGGACAGAGCAGCCGTGCAGGAGCCGACGCTCGCGGCCACTGGAACAGGAACGTCGGTTGAGGGAGGACGACAGCGCAGTTGCTTTGGCTAATGGGCCGGCTCCTGCAGTCCCCCCCCAGTGCCCTGCGCTGCAGACCAGTGAGACTTTGGACAATTCCATGGTTGGGTGGCCCATGTAGCCAGTTTTGGGCCCCACACTACAAGAAGGATGTGGAAAAATTGGAAAGAGTCCAGCGGAGGGCAACAAAAATGATTAGGGGTCTGGAGCACATGACTTATGAGGAGAGGCTGAGGGAACTGGGATTGTTTAGTCTCCAGAAGAGAAGAATGAGGGGGGACTTGATAGCAGCCTTCAACTACCTGAAGGGGGGTTCCAAAGAGGATGGAGCTCGGCTGTTCTCAGTGGTGGCAGATGACAGAACAAGGAGCAATGGTCTCAAGTTGCAGTGGTGGAGGTCCAGGTTGGATATCAGGAAAAACTATTTCACTAGGAGGGTGGTGAAACACTGGAATGCGTTACCTAGGGAGGTGGTGGAGTCTCCTTCCTTGGAGGTTTTTAAGGCCCGGCTTGACAAAGCCCTGGCTGGGATGATTTAGCTGGGAATTGGTCCTGCTTTGAGCAGGGGGTTGGACTAGATGACCTCTTGAGGTCCCTTCCAACCCTGAGATTCTATGATTCTATGATTCTATGACATAGCAGCAGCAGGACGGGGCAAATCTACCCCCTGCCTACTTCCACCCCCACACTGACCCCTTCCCCCAGCATGCATCCACCCAATCCAGGCCCTTTCCCGCTTCCAGTCCACCCACCCCTGCAGGCCTCCGTGCCTGGACAGCAGCACTAAGTGGGTGCTGAATGCACAGGAAAGGGGAAGGAGAACATGCCAGGGGACACGCACCGTTTGCGTTTGTTGGGCACTGTTTGCACGGTGCAATGTTTGGTTTACGCCCTTTGTTTTATTACTGGCTGTGGTGTTAGTTTATTACTGTTGTTTCGGTGCTGTAATGGCAGCTGGCCTGCCTGACGATGCTCTAAGTGTGTTCTGTTTGTAATACCCAAACCTTGATCCCAAACGTTTATTGCCAGCCCTCCCCGCACATCTTATCATGTGTGTTTTGAATAATTAAGATAAACACATGGCGATGCACAATGGGCAAGTTGTATCCAAATGCAATTTCTCAATACATCCGTGTACATCAATCCGTAATGTAAATGCAGAGTGCCCCACGCAGCCCAGTACACGAACAGTCTTCCGTCAGCGGCCAGTGCTTGATGCTTCAGAGGGAATGAGCAGAACAGGGCAATTATCAAGTGATCCATCCCCTGTCATCCAGTCCCAGCTTCTAGCAGTCAGGAGCTTGGGGCACCCAGAGCATGGGGTTGCATCCTTGGCCCATCTTGGCTAATAGCCATTGATAGACCTATCCTCCATGAATGTTTCTATTTCCTTTCTGAACCCAGTTATACTTTTGGCCTTCACAACATCCCCTGGCAAGGAGTTCCACAGGTTGACTCTGTGTTGTGTGAAGAATTACTTCCTTGTGTTTGTTTTAAACTTGCTGCCTGTTCATTTCATTCCTGGTTCGTGTGTGATGTGAGGGGGTAAATAACACTTCCTTATTCACTTTCTCCACATCACTAATGATTTTACAGAACTCTGTCAGATCCCCCCTTGGTCAGCAGTCTTTTTAATTTCTCCTCATACAGAAGCTGTTCTACACTCCTAATCATTTTTGTTGCCCTTCTTTGTACTTTTTCCAATTCCAATATATCTTTTTTGAGATGGGGCGACCAGAACTGAACGCAGTATTCAAGGTGTGGGCGTACCATGGATTTATATAGGGGCATAATGATATTTTTGATTTTATTATCTATCCCTTTCTTAAGGATTCCCAACATTCTGTTCGCTTTTTTGACTGCTGCTGCACATTGAGTGGATGTTTTCAGAGAACTACCCACAATGACTCCAAGATCTCTCTCCTGAGTGGTAACAGCTCACTTAGACCCAACATTTTCTATGTGTAGTTGGGAGGGACAGGCACGGCATTTCCCAGACCAACACTGACACACCGCCTTGGACATATCTGTACACACACATAGCCACACGGGCACTCACACAAATACATACAAAAGCACACACACACACCCCCAACACACACTGCCGATACAAGTTTTCTATGCACCCTAGGGAAGGGAAGCTCTCAGGCTTGGGAAGAAGGGGAAGATTCTCTCTTGGTCTGCATGTGTAGTTACAGGCACTAACCCAGAGCCAGTGTCATCTGCCCCTTCGCTCCCGCCGCTGCGTGTGAGGACAGGTGCCGGGCCTGACACAAGCCCGGGACATGTGGGAACAGCAGGCCCTGATCCCTGTCACACGGAGTGAGGGAGAGACATTGTCATTACTGAAATCCTCTAAGTGTGGGCTCAAGTGGGAAAATGTCCCAGGGGGCTCTGGCCATGTGCCCGGCACGGTGTGCATAGCAACGTGTGTAGGTTAACGCACACATGTGCATGTGCATTAGTGTGGGGGCGTACTAGTGCATTTTATTGTGTGTGAACATGCATATGGTTGTGCAGTATTAGTGAGCGGATGTGCGGGTGAGAACGCATTATGAGTGTGTTTTCGCTCGTGGGGCGTGGATGTGCACAATGTAGTTCCGGAGCCGTCCCCGTACAGTACAAACGACCGGTTATTTCTTTAGTATTGACATAACCGACTCCTGTGATACTGGCAGATCCAGTGCCAGCTCTTGCCAAAGTCCCCCGGTCTCAACAGCCCACTGGGCGAGATACGGCTGGCATCAGCCTGGCTCCCTGTGTGGGAGCGTGGTTATAACAGGCATTAGCGTGATAGGAATGAGGTTAGTGTTCAGTCTTTAGTGAATGCTGGGGAGCTACTGCCTCATTACTCTCACTTACAACGTCTGTATCCCACAGTGTAAAGTAATATCTGAGCAGTTATATCGTGGCCTCTGTAACTGCACGAATCACCCAGCCCGATCTCCAACAAAGTGTTACGTCCTGCCCCCCAGGAAAGGTCCATTACACCAGATGGACTATTGTGGGATGTTAATGAGAACCAAAGACATTGGTTGTTCTGCCCTCCCCCCCCCATGCAGATGAGTCATGCAAGTGCATTCCTTCCATCCGCTGATTTTGCAGCTCAGAGCACATGGTATAAAGGGAATGTGACGAACTGGGACTGTTCTTACTGTGGGCTTTGAATGCTGACAGGGGAGTGTGGCTGGGATAGTCTGCATTGGGGGATGGGAGACTGACCGACAGACAATACCTGAGCATGTAACATGAGAACCCAGGAAGGGGTTAAAGGCCAGGTGACACCTTTGCCCGGGAAACTGAACAAAGGCTGGAGGGAGAGTTCAGAGCTGGCTGGTGACATGGCTGGGAGGCAGACGGGGCTCTGACCTCCCAAGGGGGCTGTGGGGCCCTGGGACCCCAAGATGGACCTAACTGAGGGGGTCCTGTTTTCTGTGCCTGCAAGATGTGTCTTGGACTGTATTCCTGTCGTCTAAATAAACCTTCTACTTTACTGGCTGGCTGAGAGTCATGGTGAATCACAGGAAGCCGGGGGTGCAGGGCCCTGAGTCCCCCCACACTCCGTGACAGGGGGTAAAAAAACAAACAGAAGGAACTGATTATCTCTTGCTTCTTGGATTCTGGGGAGCAAGGCATAAGCGAGAGATCCCCAGCTGCTTAGCCCGGGTGAGCCCTAAAGGACAGATAGTACCTGCTTATTATAGAAGCTTCTATTCTCTTTTGAAATTTAAGATTGTAAGTCATGTGCGTGTATGTTGACCTGCTTTAAGATTATAAATCACTCTCATTTCCTGTTCCTATTAATCAATCTGTATATAGATGATTGTAGGATTGGCTACAAGCGTTGTCTTTGGTGTGAGATCTAAGGTGCAATTGACCTGGGGTAAGTGACTGATCCTTTGGGCCTGGGATTAACCTGAATATTGCTGGGAACTGTCTGTGTCTCCATAGTTACGCTGTTATAATGCCTGAAGAGTTTGCGCTGGATCATTTGTTGGTGAAATCTAAGTATAGAACTCACAGGCAATGGGGTTTGTGCCCAGGTTCTGCCCTGGGGTTGGCACGCTCTTGGGTTACTGCAGGCAGCATGACAAGTCATCATTGCT